AGTAGGCCAGTGGTTAGATGCAAGTGAATCATCAAAACAACACCCAAAACCTACACTGCACCCTGAAAAGTTAATGGTTACTGTATGGTGGTCTTTGAAAAGGGTTATTCATTATTCATTCTTGCCTTAAAGGAAAACAATAACTTCAACACCGTATTGTGGAGAAATTGAGTGTATGCACGAAAAATTGAAAAAGAAACATCGAAGACTTGTGAATAGGGATGATCCAATTTTGATGCACGACATTTCACGGCCGGACGCTTCTTAATCAATCAACTGTCCAAAGTCTGAATTATGAAAATTTGCCTCATTCACCATATTCACCTGATATCTCTCCTACTGATTATCACTTATTTAAGCATTTTGAGCTTTTCATACGCAATAAAACATTCTCCAATAAGGAAGATGTAATCGAAGCATTTGAACTGTTGATTACATCAAAGGATGAGAATTTTTTAAAGATGGAATCAAGAATTTAGAAGGACGGTGGAGAACATTCATTCATCAATATGCTGCATATTTCAATCAAATAAATTAGTTAATTAGCATTTCAGAAGCGTTTTATTCATTTCCTTCAGTGTGCATCATTTCATGAGAGACAATCTTTATATGGAATACAAATATGTTACCGTGACCTGCATATTTTAAAAAATTTGGTTGGTAAGAAAATTCAGCCGCGTTTTTAGCATGATAACTTTGTGAGTACTTGGATCTCTTCTGTTAATTCACACCAAATTATTAATTGACCCCAAAATAAAAAATAATTTTCCACAACGGTCCAATGATTCAGCCCAAGTTCTTCACAAAAGTTTATAGTTGCTATATTCTTGGACCAGAAATAAATAAATAATATGATTTTATGGTCGGGAAATCGTGAATCTTGAAGCCAATTTCCTTTCCTAAGCGACTTCTCTTCACGGCATTTACTGAGACGGCAGTGCCATCTATCCTGTCGATCTGTGAAGGTCAAAACGCATTTCATGTCCTTTAGAGCATTTCATCGACGTACGAAGAATATTTAGTTTCTGTAAGAAACGAACGCCATTCTCCTTATCTTTACATTCTTGTAACTTCATAGCAAGCTAAAAAAATAATAAAACAAACATTGATTTAATATTTATAATTTCAAAATCCAAAAAATTAATAAAAAAACAAACAAACTAATATTAAATATCTGCGATAAATAACTTTACATTATTTGGGGTGAATTAACAGAAAAGATCCGGCTACTTTTTCAATACATCCGGTAAAATAACCATTCATTTTTAAGTTCTAATATTTTTTTTGATTGATAGTTTTTTACGGTTTATCAACCTTTTCCAAGTTATTTAAAGACAGAACATATTTTTAGATTGTAAGATATTTCTGAAGATAATAATGATTTACTGATACAAATTCTACTAATTAACCCATAGCTGGGGGGAGAAGAAGTGGATTCATACCTTTCCCAAGAGTAATTGCGCGTCAGTGAATATAACAAAGACGAATAGAATTTGAACTCTCTAACTTCTATTTCCGAGACGTTTTGTATTAAACCATACACACAGCTAAGCTTACAGCATATGGTATTCTCAAGCAGTCACCCATCTAGTTACTGACCAGGCTCGACCAGTCTCAGTGATTATACGAGAACGAGAGTTTCAACGTGATATTGTTGTAACCCAAATATTCTTTTTTCTTTCTTTGTAGATTACTTAATATCAGAGTAGATGAATTTTGAATCAATTTTATTCTTTTAAAATGAGTTTAAATTAGATCCATATCAGACACTATGCATTTTTGAATTTAGCCACGGAAGTGTCGGGATATATTCATTGCGTTTATGGAAATGAAAGTTAAAGTGCCCGGAGACTCTAACGATGGTCGGGACAGTTTCGATCGGAAGATTTTTATCTAAAAGATATCTGTCGATCTGAACGAGTAAGTTTTGCCATTAATGATCTCCTGCTAATCGTAGTTGATGAAAATCCTAAGCAAATCACGCTACAATTAAGTAAACAATTACGTCCAAGCCATATTTCGATTATAAAATACCTTCATGTATGCCTTAAAGAATATGAACTTGGTTAATGGGTCATTCCATTTCGGGCTATGTTTCAGTTTAATCAAGATTTGTCCAATGCATTTATCATTGGACATTAGCCTTTTAACGAAAATCCATCGCTAGAATCCCCATCATTGATGAAAAATCGGTTCTCTATAATCAATTTCCAACAAAAATGGCAATGGATAGCAAACATTGGACGCAGCGACTGAAAGTTGGTCTCTCATTCATAGCTTTTACTTGGATGCCTTTTTGATGATATAAAGTGCAATGTTGTAAGCGTCTTCCGACAGCCGCCACGACATTTTGTCCCTTGGAATTCAAGTGAACTTGCAATTAAAAAGGATTTTACACACACAATCAACATACAGAGCAATCGAACCCCCGTCCGATCAAACCGTGATTTTCACTTACAAAATTCGAAACCTTCCGAATAACGCTTTCTCTTTATTAAGATTTGCTTATTAAGATTTGCTTGAATGCACAGGCCGGTAGACGTAATACACACTATTTTGAGTAAAAATGGGGCGTCTATTTAAAATACGGGTATCTAGTAAAAAACCCAAAAATGTTTGACGTTATTGATAAAAATATAGGTTTGAAAATAAATCCATTAATTTTTTATAAACATGCCAGATTTAATTGGCAAAACACCCGGCTCTCCCTGGACAGTTTTTCTCATCTTGTTAAATGTCGAAGGCGAAGAAGATACAGAAAACAGAAACGTCGTTGCCGGTCTGAGGTTGTTGTTTGGCTAAAAAACAAAGAAAACAACTCATGAAATCATCGCATTCAAGCATGTTTATCCGAGTTATAGTTCTATCAACAAGCTTAACCAAAATAAGGATAAAGTTCAAAGTGTGTTCCATCTTCGTTTCAAATTTGTCTTTGATCTCGAATAATATTCTTAATTTTCAAAACCAACGGTCATATATGTAAAAAAAACAAACAAACCCCAAACACCAGAAGTATTATAAATATGAACCCAAATAAGATTTTACTAAATCTGAAGGGAGAAAATAATTTAATAGGAGTAGATAGGTTCGCCTATCATACGGTTCACAATCCTCCCTGTTCTTTTGATAGAAATATACGTTTACCTCTTGTCTCCTGCTACGAACTGGCTTTCTGCTTTTTTCTAAATTCAAAGTTCTCGGCGTGGGGCACATGCCCCAAAGGGATGGGGAGCAATTTTATTTTAAGGAGGGCAATTCGAGAATGAGTTATTAGCAACGAATTTTTTCTAGTGAGTATGTGTGGTTATGAAGGTGTGTGCGATTTAATACATACGGTGTATATACAGTATACATACATAAAACATATTTGTGTATGTATCCTTGTTTCTTGGTTAAGATTGGTTTCCCTTTTCATTCTAATTGTTTTAAATTCTCCTTCACTTCCAAAAGTCCCCTGCGTCTTAGTGGCATTATCACCTTGCTTGGGTTGATTTGATTAGAGAAAAAAACACCGTAAAAGTAGAGTCCATGACTACACTCGAAAAAAGTTATACTCTGTATTTGATGATTGTCGTCTATTATGAAGCGCTAAAACAAAAAGGAACAGTTTGCGCCGAGGTGCAATGACTGGGAAAACTTTCAAAATATTAGAAAAGCGGTCATCTTTGGTAAATCGTAAAGGTGTGTTTCTCTTAACCGATAATACAAGACCACATATTGCTCGAGTTACCCAGGAAAATCTTATGGCGCTAAAAATGGTAGTTACCTCATCCTCCTAACTCTCCTGATTTTGCTCCACCCGGCTATCATCTTTCCAGATCATTGCAATACTTTTTAAGAGGGAAAAGAGTTTAATGTGAGGAGGTTAAAATATATATTAAGTATATATTTGCAAAGAAAACTACAGAATTTTTACGTCTGAAGCATGGATGCCAAACATAAATAGGATTTCAAAATTTAAAATATTAATATGGATTGCTTGTAATTGCATGCGTGAGTCCAAGTATAAATAGTTATAAATGATTATTGATCGATTTTATCATTTTGATATTTTTGCATTATACCAAGTATTAAGAATATAGTGACTAGGGTCTGCAAATTGGAGGAGAGAGTTATCAATCCGCGGTTAACTCCTTTAACCCTCTCTCACACAAAATTTGGTGAGGTGCGAACAAATTTTCATTCCGAAAATGGGTCCCAGAAAAGTTTGGGAACCATTGATCTATAGTAATATATAAAACAATGGAAAAAAATATATTTCTCGTCGGAGTGTCTATTGTGCAACTCCTTCCGGTCTAAAATCATTCTGTTTACATCTATGTAAATATTTAAATACCTATTTTTATACTAGAAACGTTCAAAGAGTAACTAATAACCATCAATTTGATTAAAGGACCTACTGATGGCAATCCTCATTGGGGGAATGTGTCTTTTGTCGATTCTGGTAAGCTAGTATATCTCAGTGTAAGTGTGTTCGTCTCTATCCAGCAGTGAAAAGTATAACACAATCTCTATTTCCAGCCTACACCAGTGATTTTCCACGCTCATATCCCCATACCTGTCCATTTACGCTTATCTCCAACTGCCAACCCCGTCAGGTCCCCTACTGTCAACAGCTTGCACGAGCCTCGAATTAACAGAGGCGAAGTGTCCGGCTGTCTTTCGCAATCAGTGAGAGCTTTATATCAAATCCACTTAGCCCAGTCAATCAATGCAAAAAAACCGGACACCCTAATGGTTAATGGATCCTCGCCACGGGTAAGCGAGGGTTTCATCTCGAGACTTCTTGCTCAGAAGAGTGAATAGACTGATTACTTCCGACTGTGGCGTCTTATTGGCTATCTGTCCGTCGCTCTGATTAGCGTATCTGTAACCGTTTGAAAATGTCACCTATCCACTTCCGGTCATCTGTTGTAGTTCGAATAATTTAGGCAGGCTTCCGGGGTGGGTAGAAGCGCTGCGTTTCTTCAGGAATTTCGTTTCCACACATAAATATATGCATGCACATTATCTATCTATCTATCTATCTATCTATCTTTTGCAGATTTACCATATTTAATTATCAGCACCTGTTCTTATCCTCCCTCTTTTTATACGTTCGGGCACACACACACACACACACACACACACACACACACACACACACACACACACACAGAGTTTGTATCTAATTATATTCCTTTTTTCTTTCTTTCTATTTCAATCTGTTCCCATTTATCTCTCTATCTATCCCAATCTGTTCATATCTCTCTCTCTCAATCTGTTCGCATCTATCTATCTATCTATCTATCTATCTATCTATCTATCTATCTATCTATCTAAATCCATTTGTATCTACCTATATATCTATCCATCTCAATCTAATTTTCACCACCTGTTTCTATCCTCTTTTTTATACGTTTGAATACACACACATGCACATACATACACCCGCGCGTGCGCGCACACACACACACACACATATATATATGTATTTAGAGAGAGAGAGAGAGAGAGAGAGAGAGAGAGAGAGAGAAAGAGTAAGAAAGCTGTTTATTTAGGTAGCAATTCATCTCTAATAGACGTTTCATTAAAAATGACTGCCAATACTTCTGTTAAATTCTCGTAGAAAAGAATAATTTTGACAAATTCTTCACAGAGTGTCCAAAAAAAAAAAAAAAAAAATATCTTGTTCACACACAAAAATCCCAATAAAAAAATACTTAACAGTAGTATTTTTCAGTTTGGTAGGTTTCCGTGCGTGTTTAAAAGATTCCTAATGGAGCTACGATCAACATATTCCATCCGCAACGTGTATTTGTAGTAAATACAACTATAAAAGCCTCATCCTGAAAAAGAACAGAAAGACTAGATATAATGGAAGCATTGACAATAAAAAGAAAAAAAAGCCTATGTTCTAAAATGACAAACTATGACAAACTATGGCAAACTATGACAAACTATGACAAACTATGGCAAACTATGACAAACAATGGCAAACTATGACAAACTATGAAAAACTATGACAAACTATGACAAACAATGGCAAACTATGAAAAACTATGACAAACAATGGCAAACTATGACAAACTATGACAAACTATGGCAAACTATGACAATGACAAAATATGACAAAGAATGACAAACTATGACAAACAATGACAAACTATGACAAACTATGGCAAACTATGACAAACAATGACAAAGTATGACAAACAATGACAAACTATGACAAACTATGAAAAACTATGGCAAACTATGACAAACAATGACAAAGTATGACAAACTATGGGAAACTATGACAAACTACGACAAACAATGACAAACTGAGTATGATCACAATGAGTATGATCACAATGTGCTGAGCGTTTTTGGAAAATAAAACACATTCCCATAACACTAGATACATACATAAAACTGTACACATTCTGTTTGAATAAAAAAGGGTCTTTGCTTATGGCTAAAAGAATAGCCAAAACCGCTCAAACATACAAATTATTCGGACAATTTTTCTACACCTTATGTTCAGAAAAGAAACAAATTATATGAACACAAGTAAAAAAAGCTTAAAAGTCTTTTATAATGATTATATATATATATATATATATATATATATATATATATATATATATATATATATATATATATACATATATATATATATAAATGTATATATATGTGTGTGTGTGTGTAAAATGTAAAACAACGAAAAGAATATAAATTTAAAAGTTCATAGCATTAAATTAAAAAGGATTCAATACAAGAGTAGAACAATAAATATTTATTATAATCTGTTACATTGGAACATGCATATTTGTTTTGACGTCTACAGATGTCTATGTCAGGTGGTTAATGTTGGTCGTAATAAACGATTTTATTTAAAAATACGATTTATGAAGCATCATTTCTTTTTACATTTTTGAAAAATTTTCCATGGAAGGCAACCCCCGTCAAAAAAATTTATTTATTTTATAAAAGGAAGCAAATTAAACTAAAAATTAAGGTAAGAAAATAAGAAATAAATAAAAAGAAAAAGAGGAAAGAAAAGAAAGGCATTTGCTTTTTTCTTTCCTTTCCTCGTCTATACTCATGTAATGGATTAGTAAGGATCATCTGGACTCATTAATATATTGCTCTGTTACTTACATTGACCTCTTTGGATTAATGGCCTCCTTGGAATTAGCAACTAATATTGTATATATATATATATATATATATATATATATATATATATATATATATATATATATATATGTGTGTGTGTGTGTGTGTGTGTGTGCATACGTGCGTGCGTGTGTGTATGAGGAGGTATAAAATATAAAATATATTATAAATTATATTTACATATGCTCTAACGCTGATATTAACCACTTTTACCCATAAATATAGCATATGTAAAAGCTATATTTTTATTTGAATTCAAATGTAGTACTTATCAATTTACACTTGAGTTTGCTCGACGTAACCGAAAATTCTATTCTAACATTTTCTTTTCTTGTGCTACTCGCTGGTAGAACTCTTTTCCGATTCCATGCTTTGAAGCCAACTTCAAATATATATATATATATATACCAATATCAATCGCTATCTATTCTCTTCCTGATTACACTTTTTTTTCTCGTTCTTAGTAATGATGTATATATATATATATATATATATATATATATATATATATATATATATATATATATATATATATATATATATATGCATTTCATTGAATACGACAGACAAGGTGCTTTTATTTAGTTTTTTTTAATACAATTTCTCATGCGATCTAATAATTTTATTCTTTTCGGATAATTAATTATATAAAAACTGTCCGTATGTTCTTTTTATCCGAGCGCTTTCGGCTATACATTTAGCCATTTTCAAGGATTAAACATTTAAAATATTATATCTTACTTATTATAAAACGCAGATTGTGTGTGTGTGTGTGTGTGTGTGTGTGTGTGTGTGTGTGTGTGTGTGTGTGTAACGTTTATATGTTGGATCGAATTTCCTACATTTTTAGCCGATTTCAACAAAAACTTCACAGGACTACATAAAATTACCTTGTGGTGGTTCTAACGGGCCCGAAAATGGGAAAAAACACAGTTGTTTTTTAATAAAATCATTTTGAAAACACGATTAAGACACATCGTGAGAATGAAAGGGGACAACTCACCCACGAAAATGTAAACAAAAGAGCATAGCATGATGAAAAAGACGCCGAACTTGACGAAAACAAAATTTTATCGTCTAATGTTCATATTTATTATTAAAGGAAAAGATCAAAGTATTTTGGGGGTATTTTTTACATTTTTAATCGTTCCTAGCACGTCTGAAATTTTCGTTAAAATATTGTTTTTTTTTGGTCAAAAAAAAGGACAGATAATCATTTTCAATCTTTTTTTTTCGATTTGATAATAAAGATTAAAATCTTACTTTGATATTCTTTCAAAACTGATTTTAATAAAAACAGAAATTATACTGTTTATTTAAAATATTTTGAACCAAGCTTAACTTAGCTTCTGCGCCGAAAAAATGTAATTTGAAAATAAAACAAAGCAGGTCATAACCTTTCGCGTCGCTTGACGATTGACGAAAGGCACATTCATGACGTTTAGATAACTTACGGGAGAAATTCTTTCTACGGATGGAAGGAAGTGAAATTATTTAAGTGAACAAATTATTTACCTTGTTACTTTTAAGGAAAACTTTCAGCGCTCTAATTTTTTATTTTTTATTTTTTAAAATTTTTTTTGTACTTAGCTTTCATTTTTACGTTTACGATGCTTTATGGAAAATATAATGAAATTAAAAAATAAGACTGTTAATAGTGAGATTAAATTTCATAAGAAAAAGGTATCTAATTAATTTAGGTACCTTTCTTATGAAATTTTATCAGAAAATAATACATAAAATACTATAATTTTATGTACATTTATTACATTTTACTGTGTTATTTGTATTTCCATTCATTTTATTATTAATTTTGATATTTCATTTATGGAAAAATGTCATAACTGAGATTAATATAAAAAATAAGATCATATAAATTAAAGTTTAGCAGTAGTTAAATTTCATAAGATGATACTGTTACTTGTAGGTACCCTTCTCAGTTGAAATTGAAAACTCAAATTAACTTCTCCATACATGTTTCGCAAAAGTAAAGGGCTTAACAGCGGAGAACAATGCTGAACTCAAATAATGCAACTAAATTGTATTCTGGTTGGTCTTCCGTACTTGATAATTACTGTCCGACTATAAACACAAAAATTACATTTCTTAATTACCATGGCTAATCTGATTGGTCCAAATTATACAATTTTCAAAGCGCTAGACAATGACAATCTCACACGGACATTTTGAAAGGTTCATGTTGCTTTTACCTAATGTTAAAATATTTTTTAAAATTCAATTTAAACATTTTTTTAAAATCTTTTTAAAATTAAAGAAATAAGAAATAATTGTATTAAAAATTCAATTTTCATTGAAAAAAAATTTTTTGCTTTCAGAAAATATTGTCCATATTCATAAAACAAATTAAAACAAATAAAAGCATTTGAAACTAAATAATATATTTGTTTTATTGAGTTTCGTATGTTACAATTCACAGCTGATTTTCAGGTACGTTGGCCAAAAAAAAAAAAAAACTAAAAAAAACAACATGATTTGCATTCTTCAAAGCCTTGTGTTTTTAACTATTGTAATCACTAAAACCGATGGTCTCGAATTTCTAGAGTTTTCATAAAATTAGTTATGGGGGTGTTAATAAAAATAAAAAAATATTTCTGCCATGACTTTAATAAAAAAAACATATTTATAATAATTTCGATCATCTGTGAATAGTTTCTGAAAGTTTCATTAACATCTGACAATTATTTTTATTTTTGCAAGATTTTCCAAATTAATGTGTGTAAATACAAAAAAAAACGCGCTAAAATTATCTATGTTATTTACTACCCCTTGTTGCGACAAAAAGAAACAAGGGTTTTTAAATCAAAATTTAGAATATTCTAAAAGATGGAAAAATTTTAAAAAAATTAAAAAAATTTAGTCTATCCTCTTCATAAAAACATAAGCATTTTGACGATAAAATTTTGTTTTCATAAACTTTGGCGTCTTTTTCATCAGACTATGCTCTATGTTTTAGCGATTCCGTGGAGTCACTTAGGTTAAAAAACCCAGGTTGTTTATATGTATATATATGTGTGTGTGTGTGTGTGTGTGTGTGTGTGTTCCTTTATATATGGATCGGATTTCTTACATTTTTCAGCCGATAAAACAAACATCCACTTTTTTTTTTTCAGGTAGTATTTCTTATTGTCTTGCACACTTTTTTCTTTATTTACATTCAGAATGCTTT